AGGTTGGGCAATCTACCTCAGTAGGGATGCCGCCTTGGAAACCCAAGAAGAGGTTGCTATGAATCAGATCCGACTTGACGGCACATAACAACAACAACATGCAGTGGAGAGTGTACCAAGACCATGTATAGGGTTGGCAGACAATGGTTCTACAAGTTTATTTGTATGTTCTGTAAGAATTTCCAGGGGTATAGTAGAGCTGACAAGGGACAAGGTTGTAGTCACTTCCTGGCCACACCGAGCTACCCAGAGGGACCGAGTAGTTGAACCTGTGGGCTCGGGACCATAGTCACAGGGGACATCAAGCTCAATTGGCATAACATACTACACAAAATATTGTTCCACCTCCTACTTTGGTGAGTAGCAACTAGGATCTTAAAAGCTTGCAAGCAGCCATCTAGATGCAACGATAGGTCTCTCCTCGTCCAGAGCAAAGAAGAATGAAGAAAACCAAAGATTAATGGAAACAATGAGTCCTAGCGACTGGTACACCATGCTATCCTCAGCCTATACGACTATGAGACCAGAAGAACCAGATGGTGCCTGGCTACCACTGTCAACCACTCAGAGGGGGATCTATGTAGGAGACCCTGGATAGAGAGGAAGAACAATGTGGAACAAAACTCAAAATCATTTGGAGAAAAAAAAGGGGGGGGACCAGGTTTGCTGGTCTGATGGAGCCTGGTGGAACTACTGAGACTATGGCCCCTAGCTGCCCTTCAGGTCTGGAATTGAACCCACACCTGTGGCTTCCAGCCAAACAAAAGACAGGCATATGAATTGAACATTTACTTGAGGCAGATACACTCCTTGGAGAGAACAATCGTGGGAGAAAGAAGGGCTGTGTATGCACAGGGAGACAGCTTAAGGGGCAGGAGTGCATGGAGGGGTGGACACAGGGAAGAGGTAACTATGGGGAGGAAGTGGGAGGGGAGCTGTTACACTGTGGTGAATTGTAGTCTTTGAGACAAAGTGTGTGTGAACTGCTGTATGGAAAGTGAATTTGCTCTATAAACTTTCACCCAAATCACAAAAAACAACAACAAAAAAAAGGATCAGAGGGAGGAGAGGCCAGGCAGCTGCCAAGACCACCCAGGTCCCCATGAGGATAGCTCCTCCTGTCTTGGCCGTTGAGAGTGCGTGGCGTACAAACTACACCTGCTCAGCCTCCTGTGGGGGAGGGGCTCCCTCCTGGGTCTGGCCCCTCCCTGGTCTTGCTTATCCCCAAATTCCGTTCACACCTGCTCATCCTGTCCATGGCAAGGAATGTGGGGTGGCGGAGGCAATTAGGCTGGCCTGGTGCAAATCCTGACTCCGCCCCACTGGGAGGCTGTGTGACCTTGGACCAGTTGCCCAGCCTCTCTGAGCCTCTCCTGTTGAATGGGATGTTGTTGCTGTTTGGTGCGGGTGGAGTCCATTCCCATGCATAGAAACCGCATGTGACAGAGTAAAACGTCCCACAGGGCTTTCTAGGTCATGATCTTTACGGGATTACATCATCAAGTCTTCCTCCTGTGAAGCTGCAGGGTGGGTTGGAACCAACAACCTTTCCTGAGCAGCTGAGCACTTAACCTTCCTCACCAGGAGGGCAAGGGTGAGACCAGTCAAGTACGGTAATCTCAGAGGGCTGTCCTGAGAATTCGATGAACTAATACAGAAGCTCTGGTAGGAGCTCTGGTAGCATAGTGCCTAAGGCACTTGACTACTAACCAGATAGCTGATGGTTCAAATCCTCGGAAGGAAAGTTGGGCAATCTAGGACACAGGGAAGAGGTAATCATGGGGAGGAAGTGGGCGGGAAGCTGTTGCATTGGGGTAAATTGTGGTCAATGTCATGAGACAACTGTGTGTGTGAGCTGCTGTATGGAAAGTGAATTTGCTCTGTAAAATTTCACCCAAATCACACACACACACACACACACACAAACAAAAAACAAAACAAAAAAAAAAAAAAAAAAACCAGGGACTGCCAGAAGAAAGAACAAATCTATCCATTTCCAAAACAGTCAGTCCTTGGGTCTACGACTCTGCGTCTATCAACTGGACTGAAGTGCCTTCTCCCTGCCTCCCCCTTGCCCCTAAATTTGCTTCCTCTTAAAATGTTGATCTTGCTGTTACCTTCCTTCTTAATCTACATGATACATACAAGACTGTGTGAGACACATGTCTGTGGAAACCTACAAGGATCCCCGGGACCTTGAACATTTCAGGCATAAACCTTGTCAGCAAATCTGAACTCCTCCTTGCTACATCCACCCCTGCTCCACCGCTATCCCAAATTCAACCCTTGTCATTCCCTCACCTTTTTTAAAAACTGTTTTTGTTTTCTTTCCATACATTTATATTATGAAAATATAGATTCTTTCCTTTTTCTTAGTTGGAGGCCATTTAGAAAAAAATGTGGAATTGGGTTGCAGGTGTTTCCTTGGCACCGTGTCTGTCCTTCAGTGCGCCGGGTCCTCGGGGTTACTGCTGTCTAGGAGCGCGTGGTGGAAACGTCTACCACCTTTGGTCTTCCCCGTAACAGCCCCGGTCCCTTTGCCCTGTTGCCTCCTACCCAGCGGGCCCTCCCTTTCACCTGTCTTGGAAGGCTGACTCACCCTCCAAGCCTCAGCTCCAAGGTTGCTCAATCCCACTCTCATTCATTCTTTCCTGTCCTTTCCTGAGATGTCCCTGGGTCCTGAGCCTGAGACGGTTCCGATTCCGTCCTCTGTAGGCACAAGCTGCCATCTGGGTGCTCTGGGGCGGGCTGGGAGGCAGAAGTGAGAGGCAGGACCCCGTGCCTTCTGGCCACGAATAGGAAACTGCCCGTGTGGAGTCTCAAAGCCTGCGAGGGACCTTGCCAAATGCAGGAGAGCGGGCAAAGAGGTCATGCAGTCCCCCATGCGAACCCAGAGCAGCGCTATGTTGGTCTCTGCAGGGTTTCTTTGGGGCGGACGTGTCCACAATGCCTTCGAAAGCTCTTTCCCTGGGCACTGGGGAAACGGGGAAAGCACAGGAGCTGGACAAGCCAGCGAGCAATTTGGGAATCAGAAGAGAGCTCTCTGGGGATGCCTATGGAGGGCACTCACTGGCTATGCAAAGGCACTGGGGCACAATAGCAAGGCGAGGCCACGGAATTTGTAGCAAGGAGGAAGTTGGAAGACAGAATGGTGGGAGGGAGGAGTCGGTCTGTGGGGTGGGCGGGACCAGAGCGCGGGGCTTCCAACGCTAGGCTTGAGGGGCTTGGGTGTTGGGGAGTCACCGGCTTGGAGGGGGAGCCTGGAGGCAAGGGGACTGGAGAGGAGGCCAGGGAGGAGGCTAGGCTAGGGTGCAGTGGAGAGGACAAGGCTTGAGCCAAGGCCTGGCCATGGGGACAGAGAAGAGGGAACAGGCAGAGACAGTTGGGGGCAGGAGGGCTGTTGTGGGGAGCTGAGGCTTGGGGACTTAGGGGCTGGGTGGAGAGGGCAAGGAAGGAGAAGGGACAGTGCCAATGGGACAACTAGGTGACGGGGTGAGTCCCAGAGGAGGAAGGATTTTGAGCTCAGTGGGGACCCTGTGCATGTAAGGGGCCTCGTAAGGGAGAAGCGGCCCCAGAAGGAAGTTAAGGGTCTAGGAGATTCCAGAAGCTCATAGAAAAGAAAATCTGAGACTCTCGGGGCACCACAGGTGGGATCTCCCTCATTCAGTCTAGAGGTGTCTTTGAGGTGAGGATTCTGTGCCCCTATTTTGCAGACAAGAAAACTGAAGCTCCGAGAAGGTGAATGACTTGACCAAGGTCACACAGCACAAGGGCCGGGGGGTGGGAGGCAGGAAGGCACCCAGTGCCTGGGTGGGGCTGGGGCAGGAAGTGGGAACCTCAATGGAGCTGGTTTCTCTCGGAAAGGACCTCCCAGGGCCCAGAGAAGAGAATGCCGGGACCCTGCTGTGAGCAGAGCCAAGCCCAGCCTGGTGGTCACTCTCAGCCCCAGTGGCACAGAGACACCGGGAGGCTTGCCTGGGTCACACAGCAGTCCTGGCCCAAGTGGCCCCTGTCTCCGGGAGACCTCTCCATGCCCACCTAGGATCCTGGGCCTGGGAAGGCTCTGTGGGGTGGGGCAAGGGCTGAGCTGTCTGCCCCTCAAGGCCCAGGCTGACCCCAGGGGCCAGGGAGGCCGGGAGAGGCTCTCCCAGCAGAGTGCAGGGTATCAAGGTTGGACATAGTCTATGTGTTCAGCTGTGGGGTCTTGGGCAGGCTGCCTGCCCTCTCTGAAGCTCTGTTGGTGCATCTGAAAAACAGGGGCACAGAGAGGGGTCTCGAGGGCTTCTCTCCAAGGCTGTAGGGGAGGAGGACAGACTGGGCCGGCCTGTTGGGTCACTGTCCCTTGCAGCCTTAGTTTCCCCAACTGCGAAGTGGGTATTACAAACCTCCCTGAGTCATTGCCACAAGCAGCGAGTCACACCTGGACAGAGAGAGCTCTCAAGACATGGGGATGGCTGTCCCAACAACCATGAGGGCCAAGGGGTCCCCGCTTGGACAGGCCCTTCTCCCCTGCCATGTCCCCCACCCCCTGGGGCACAGCCACACTCTCTCTGGGGCTCCTGTCTGCATCCCCGACTTCACACCTTCTGCCCTCCATCCTTCCCCAAAAGGAAGGGGGTACGTTCTGAGTCCCCGTGAGGAAGAGCATCCCAGGGCGAGGGGAGGGAGTGGGGGCCAACAGGTGCCATGTTTTCTAACCCCGCACAAGGCGCTCAGTCAAGTCCCTGGTCTCCTAGCGTCTCTAAGTCAGGAGACAAAGGGCTTGGGGGTCCTTTTGACAGACGGAGAAACTGAGGCCCGGAGGAGGACAGAGACGCCCCTGGCATCCCAGGTGGTGACTCAGCACAGCCCGGGTCCCCCACTCTCCCCGCAGGCCAGACCCCGCGCCCCAGGGTGGCAGGCGCGGCGCAGCCCAGCCTCCGGGCGGAGCCTCCCGACCGTACAAGCCCCGGGGAGGACCGCGAGGGGTCTGCCGCCTCGCGCCCAGGTGTGGGCCTCACCTGATCGCCGAGATGTTGCTCTCGTAGGTGTCCCACAGGCTCGGGATCCGGGGCTCGGCGGGCCCGTCCATGGCAGGCGGGCGGGCGGGCGAGGGCGGGGAGGAGAGGACACGCAGGGAGCTGGCGGCTCGGGGGCCAGGTGTGCGCAGCGGCGGCGTCTGCCACCCGGGGAGCCCCGCCAGGTGCCTACCTCCTCGCCCGGCCCACGGGGAGGGGCAGCACCCAGCCGGTTCTCCCAGCTGCTACCCACGCCTCCGACAGCCGGGAGAGGCCGGGAGGGAGCCACCCTTCTCCGAGGGCGGGGGCGAGTGGAGATAGGCAGGGCCCTGCGCCCGGCGAGCGCGCAGCCGGGGCAGCAGCGGGGCCGCGCCACCCCCGCGCCCCAACCTTCCCGGCTTGCCGTCTGGGCGTGTCTGTGCCCAGGGGAGTCTCCGCGTGCTGCCCTGGCAGGTGGGGATCACCACCCACCTGCGAGAGCCGGGTCACGCGCTCCTTGGTTCATTCATTCATTTCTTTATTCATTCAACAATGTCCTTGTTGAGTGTCTCCTGTCCTCCAACACAGCTGGGAACAGGACAGACAGAAACTCTGTCCTCGTGGGCTGACTTGCAAGGCGTACACTCAGAGAGAGACAGGGAGAGGGAGAGGCAGAGGCATGCGCAGAGAGAGACACAGAGACAGAGAGGTACAGTGAGAGATTCACAGGGGTCAAGGGAGAGACACCAAAACCAAACCCAACCCACTGCCGTCGTCGGATCCAACTCATAGCGACCTTGGGTTTCCAAGGCGGTATCACTACGGAAGTAGATTGCCCAACCTTCCTTCCGAGGAGTGGCTGGTGGGCTTGAGTGTGCTGGTGGGTTTGAACCGCCAGCCTTCTGGTTAGCAGTCAAGTGCCTTAGGCACTGCACCACCAGAGCTCCTGCCTTCACAGAAGCAAAGCCCAAACCAAACCCAGTGCCTGGAGGGGATTCTGACCCACAGCGCCCCTAGAGGACAGAGTGGAACTGCACCACAGGGTCTCCAAGGCTGTCAGTCTTTATGGGAGCAAAGCCCAAACCACACCCACTGGAAGCAAAGCCCAAACCAAATCACTGCCATTGACTTGACTTGACTCATAGCGACCCCTCCTTGGGTTACCGAGGCAGTATCACTACGGAAGTAGATTGCCCAACCTTCCTTCCGAGGAGTGGCTGGTGGGTTTGAACCGCCAGCCTTCTGGTTAGCAGTCACATGCCTTAGGCACCATGCTGCCAGAGCTCCTAAGGGAGAGATAGAGACACAGAGAGACCAAGAGAAAGGCAGAGATACACAGAGACAGGAGAGAGACAGAGATAGCCAGGGAGGCTTCACGGTGCAGTTTTGAGGTCACAGTGGCTGCCTGGTTGGAGGCCCAGCTCCGTCACCTCCCAGCTGTGAGGCCTGGAGCCTGTCTGTCTGCCCTCCTGTGCCTGGGTTCCCCGTCTGTAGATTCACTGGGCTGTTCCAAGGACTGGAGGGGACGTTTCCAAAGTGCTTGGTGGAGTATCTGACACATGGCAGTGCTCAGCAAAGCCCGTGTTGCATCTGCTCTGTGCCCCCAACACCCGGCATGCCCCACATGGGTCCCCTGACCCCTCAGACACGTGGACGGTGGCCTGGAGGCCCCAACTCCTTGCCAGAGATCGCCTATCATTATAATTATTCTCAGACAAGGTAAGAAAACAATTTCTTTTTTTTTTAACAACATTGTGATTTGGGTCAAAGTTTACAGACCAAATTCATTTTCCATGTAGCAGTTGGTATACATTTTGTTTCATGGCATTGATTGCAGTTCCCCACAGTGTAACAGCTAGCTCTCTCCCCACACTTCCTTCCTGTGGTTACTTCCCCCCCTCCTCCTTCTTTTCTGTGCGTTCCTGCCCCCTGACCTACCTCCGTGCGCAAGCACTGCCCTTCTGATCGCCTGTGGGTGCTAGTTCTGAGTTCATCTCCCTGTGCACCCTGTAGGCCTGTCCATTGTTGGGCTCAAGCTACAGACTAGGTCCAGCTCCAGGCCTGTAAGCTAACGAGGGGCCAAAGTCTCAGAAGTTTCAGCAGTGTGTTTCAAACCAGTAAGCCTGTTCTTTTCATGAGTTGAGCTTTGTTCTATGTTTTTCTCCCATGCTGTCTAGGACCTCCTGCTGTGATCCGTTTCAGAGAGGTCAGCGGTGGTAGCCAGGCACCATCTAGTTCTTCTGGACTCGGGCCATATAGGCTGAGGTCCACTAGTCCCTTGGTCTAAACGTTTCCATGTGTCTTTGGTTTTCTTCATTCTTTGGTCTGGATGAGGAGAGACCCATGGCTGCATCCAGACGGCCGCTCGAAAGCATTTCAGACCCCAGGCGTTACTCACCAAAGTAGGATGTAGAACAATGTTCTTGTGCAGTGTGTTATACAGTTGAGCTTGATTGTCCCCTCAAACATGGTCCTGAGCCCAAACGCCCAGCAACTTGCTTCCGCAGGGAGTGGCTGAGGCTGAGATGTTATCATCACCTTGCCCCCTGTTAGCTCTGCTGTTTATATGGACATTCTTACAGCATATACAAATACGTATGTAGAAATATCATCTGCCAAACCCATATATGGTCATGGGTGCCCATACCTGATCATTACCTGTCTACCAGTATATCCACCCATAGATGAATGTTTGTTATCACTGATAAGATGGTATTGTGTATGGAAAAGTATTTACCTTTGTTGTCTGTACCGAGGAAGATAATATCTAAGAAAATAAGTCCCCCAAAGTAAATAAAGCCCCATAACCCTGCTCCTACCCATAAGAGTAATGACCATTAACATTGGTAGAATCTTTCTGGAAATTTCTCCTCATTTTTTCCAATGAGGGAGCTCTGGTGGTGTAGTGGTCAAAGCACCTGGCTGGTAACCAAACAGTCGGCGGTCTGAACCCACCAACAGCTTCACGAGAGGAAGATGAGGCTGGCTGCTCCTGTAAATTCCCGTTGGGGGTAGTTCTACTCTGTCCTTTGGGGTCGCTATGAGTTGGAATTAACTCTATGGCAGTGGGTTTTGTTTTTTTTTTTCTAGTAGGTTCCAGAGAGAAATGTGACTTCCATAAATCACGACAAAAATATCAGCGTTTAGAGTGTTAGTGACTGACCGGTGACTACGTGTGTTCTCGCATCAGGGAGGGGAATGTCAGACTGAGGTGAGAGGTTCAGAAAGGAGACTCAGAGAGGTAGAGTGACTTGCCCAGGGCCACACAGCATGTCCTGCCCTCGATCTTAGGGCGGGCGGGCACTGTCCTGGGGTACGGGGCCCACTCCGTTCATCCTTCCGTCTGAAGATTCAATCCTGAGATTCAATCCTGCTGTTGCTAATTTCAGATCAGCCTCCATTTTCCGTCTGGGAAAATGGGTCCCTCCCGAGCCTGGTGAGAGGGTCAGCTGTCCGCATCTGGGCTGCGGGGACTCCTCTGACGTCAGGGTGTTGAGGGGCTGAGCTGAGACACACGCATGGCCCTGGGCCGTCACTTCCTTCTTGCTGCCTTCTCTGATCCTTTGTCCCTCCTGACTCTGATAACCTTGTCCTGTCTCTCCCACGGAGACCACCCGTGAACTCCGTCACCAGCCCCAGGAACTGAAAGCCTGATGTTGTGGAGGGGACACGGAGGGCTTCAGGGAGGAGGCCAGGTCCATGAGAGCAACTGGGAGGG